TCCCAACTGTCCCTCTTTTGGAACAAAATCCCTCTGTCCCTCTTTCCTCCTCATTCTTCCCTCATTTTGGTCTAATTTTATATAAATATGTATATATATATATATATATTATATATTGGATTGCTGCATATAAAAAAACTTTTATTGTTGAAAAATCACCATACAAAAAGGGTGAGGGTGATCCAATATGTGTTCTGATCTGAAGAAGGGTGTTAGCATATTAGCCCAAAACTGTTTGTTGAACATTATGATGCATGGCTTTGTCCATTTTTTTGGATCACCTTTTTGTATGGTGATTTTTCAACAATAAACGTTTTTTTATGTGCAGCAATCCAATTTTCTTTTTTTCTATATATGGCCTTTGGGAGGGCCTGGTTGCTATGCACCGTGATTGATCATCATTGTGCACTCAACCCATATTACAGATATATATATATATATATATATATATATACAGTGGTGTATTTAGGTTTTGTGCTGCCCTAGGCAACACAAAAATTATCTGCCCTCATGGACACCAACCGACACCACCACCCCCCTTCCTCCGTGGGAGAGAGCCAACCCCCAGCAATAGAGAGAAAGACACTCATCTTCACAGCTCCGGACATCCCCGGGAACGAGAGTCAGGCTCTACATACACCATCAAGTAGCCCGCAGCCTCTTTCGGATCCCACCTGGTTCCCATGGCACTCGTATCCCTTCTTTCATCCCTTCTTCTGCGGGGAGGTGCTGCCCCCCTGAACAATGCCGTCCTAGGCAAGTGTCTTGTTTGCCTTGTGGTAAATACACCCGTTTGTACCACTAGCCCCTCCCTCTTAGATTGTAAGCTCCAAGGAGCAGGGCCCTCCTAACCCTCTTGTATTGAACTGTATTGTTGCTGCATTGTCTCCCGTTATATTGTAAAGCGATGAGCAAACTGTTGGTGCTATATAAATCCTGTATAATAATAATATATGAAAAATATTTTTAAAAATACATTTCAAAAATACTGTGTGTCTTTAAAAATACAAATCTACATTATTGGAATGCATTTACAAATATATGTACACCCATGTATAAATAAATAAATATATATATATATTATTATACAGGATTTATATAGCACAAACAGTTTGCTCAGTGCTTTACAATACAAAGGGAGACAATACAGCAACGATACAGTTCAATACAAAAGGGTTAGGAACAGGGGCGGACTGACAACTCATGGGGCCCCCGGGCAATAGGGGATCATGGGGCCCCTGTGACCTTGCCCAAACTCAAAAAAAACCTATGAAAAAAGGTACCAGGGGTATCTCATGGGGCCCCCTACTGACCCTGGGCCCTCGGGCAGTGCCCGAGTTTCCAAATGGTCAGTCCGCCCCTGGTTAGGAATGCCTTGCTCCTTGGTGCTTACAATCTGAGATATATGTACTGATATAAAAATTTACTATTTATTTTTACATTGTTAACCCTTTTGTCCTAATTATAAATAGTTGAATCTGTAAATTTCAAAAGCCAGTATAAAGGAATAGTAATGGTAATGGATTTAACCAATTAATTTTTATGTTTTAATTCTCCATGTAATGTGGGTGTGGCAGCAAAGTGTCCTTTGTTTACATACATTTTGCGAACAGGTGTCCCTCTTTCCCGTCTCAGAATGTTGGGAGATATGGTAACTGTACTTTATATTAATATTCCAGGAAAGCCGACCCCTTCAAAAGAATAAATACACATACTGACCTCAGATTTCCCTGTTTCCTCATTTGCTTTGTCTGGGTGCCATGCCTATAGTTAGGTAAAATGTCCTTTCAATTATTTCTATGATTAAGGTTTGGATTATTTAATCTACATCAGGTGCATTTTAGATGAAATCACCAGCCAGAGTGGTCCAGGATGATACAGTGTAACAAGAAAAATGGTGGCATCTTAGGTGAGATCATGCACTTTACCAAATAGGAATGACAGGAAACCCAAAGTTTTACAGTGGTCACCTGAATAACGTGAGTGGGGATTTTACAACGGGAACATGAGTTCTGGTGACAGCTTTGGGAATGCTTATAAATATACATTGGAGGACCACCCCTGTAAGGTGATGCAACGCTGGGAAAAGGACATAGGCACAATGGAGGAGGATCAGCAGGAAGTTACGCTTCAATCTGTGCAATCGAGTTCTTTAGATGTATCCCACTGGATTTCCCAGTTACATATATGCTCCCCTGCCAAATTACATCACATGGGCTTAAAGTGTTACTAAACCCAGGACCCTGCTTTCACTATATCTGGTCTCCCAACAGTACACAGAACATGGAAGTGCAATTATTTTAGTAAATATAAACTGCTAAATACCTTTTCTCATAAGAAGTTAGAGCAATCTTGTGACTTCTATCAGTGCTCAGCCAAGCAGTAGTTAAATCTTGTAGGAGGAGTTTTCTATGTGCTCTAGGAGGATACAAAACCCCCGACCTCTGTCTGGACAGTGATGATTGGCCCTGCGCTGATCACATGCACTCTCCCAAGATAAAAAAAAACCTCTCTAGCAATACACACCAAACTGAGCAAGTGCAAAATGCCTACTGTTCAGTCTGTCTTATCAGGAGATAAGAGGCGGTCGCTTAAACAAGGGAGGAACAGAGCAATCAGCATCAAATGGCCTTTTTACACATAACAGAGTACTAACCCTTTAGGTTCCACAGTGAGTATCATTGGACACAGCTGACCACATGGTAAAAGGACACTGTGATTGACCTTTTACCTTATCACATGATCAGCTGTGTCTGCAGGTGAGTGCCGCTAGGGGGTCGTTCTGGGAGAACGTCCATGGAAGCCCTGCCAGAACTAGGCAACCATGCTGTAGCTGTCTATAGCGTGGTTGGGAAGCGGTTAAACGCAAAACGTTGTGTTTTTGGTTCTATAGACTTCAATGGAGACTCTTCATAAAAGCATGTAGTGCGTTGCTGATGCGTTTTGTGTTTTAATCTGCCCAGCAACAAGTAAAAAAAAGCATCAAAAACGCAAAACACACTGCAGAAACAGATCAAATGCAAACTGCATAGGTGTGAACCTAGCCTTACTGCATATACAGGCTGATTTTACTGTTGTGGGTTTAGTAACACTTTAGTATAGACCCCATTTGTAGCAAATGTAAAAAGGATCACAGGGATCTAAGGCTAGGTTCACACCTATGGAGGTTGCGTTTGACCCGTTTCTGCACTGCGTTTTGCGTTGCATTTTGCACCTGCATTTTTTATGCGTTTCTGATGCGTTTCTTTGTTAATTATTTTTTCTTGTTGCTAGGCAGATTTAAAATGCAAAACGCATCAAAAACGCAGCAAAAATACAGCAAAAACACAATACATGCTTTTCTGCAGCATTTCCAGTGAAGTCTATAGAACCAAAAACGCAACTTTTTGCATTTAAAAAATGACCCTTTCCAAATAATGCAAAGATGTCCCATAGGAAATCATGTTAAATGGACTGTACTGCGTTTCTGCAAATTGCAAAACGCTGCAGAAAACACTTTGGTGTGAACCTAGGGTAATATATATGCTTTGGCGCTTCCCCAAACTGTATTGCTACTGGGCATCTCTTATTGGTATGCTCAACAATGTCTTTCAAATGACTATACAGTTAGACTCCAAACAATGCATGCTGGGTATATTAGATGACTTGGCCCAACACTCACATCTCAAAGAATTGCTCTCCACTGCTCTATTCCAAGAGTGTAAGCTGGAACTCCAGCATTGGAAATTGGAGTGTAACACTCTGCAGCAATGTCAGTTGAAGTATGTTGAAATAGACACAAGATGGCAGTGTCCTGCAACTCAGTGACACACGCTCAGGTAAAAGCTTTATGAATCTTATAGGCTGAACTGCAGGACTTTTGTTAAAAGGCTGCTAATTGGGGACTACATTTTTCCAGAAGAGCTGGCTTGTGGGCGGAGGCATAAAAATATGGAAACCCGGGAAAAGAACCAGGATGTGAGAAGGGAGAGAGCTGGAGAGCAGAAACAGAGAGAGAGAGTTGTGCTGATTGCCAGAGGACTGGACCACGCCACAGTGTTATGCAGAAGAGAAGCAAGGAGGAGCCACTGTTCAGCGAGACAGTCTGCCAGCAGTTGGCCAAGAGCGCAGTGACCGGACACAACGCTGCAGCATGAGGCCAGATAACCTGTGGGGCCCCCATCCGCATGACAGAAAGACAGCCAGGACCAGCAGGAAGCCACCAATCGGGTGAGAGAGTTCATTGGGTTATCCTTCTAAAGGAACTTCTATCACCATTGGCATTGGTTATCACAGCCTAGAGTGGAGTTTGCTTTTTGCCAACAAACCTTATTGCCAGTTTGACACTTTATTTGCCTAAGGCTGCCCTTTTCTCGGTGCAGTAAAGGGAACAACACCCAAATCAAGCGCCATTTAAAAGGAAAGTACTTGTTCTTTCTTCTTCCTCCCTTGTGTTAATCCTGTTAGGAACTGTCACCTACATCACTTCCTACCTGTGCACCAACTGGGCCCCACCGAGCGTGCAGAACAATCCTCACTGCATTGAAAGGGACTACCCTGGTCAAAGAGTTCTTTTATCTCAGATTTAAGCCTTGCCATCAGATTCTGAGGGCCCAAAGTGAGCTAGTTCTCCTGTTGCTAGTTTTCATTGCTCACTGGGGTTGACACCACCTCGGGTTGAAGGTATTGGGGTTAACTTCTGAAAAGCAGGCCTGCTAACATTGATTGAGATACTGCTGTATGTGGTTTTTCTTTGCTTAGAGTTGCTAAGAGTGATAATTGCCATTCCACATACCAATACCATTTTGTATTGTTTAACCAAGCTCGCATTAAAGTTTATTTTCATCTTTCAGCGCTGTCGCACTTTGACACTTGCGCTGTCATACAGCATTGTACCCTTATGACATTTTTAGCATTTGTTTCACACAAAAAGAGCTTTATTTTGGTGGTATTTAATTACTGCTGGGTATTTTATTTTTTGCAATATAAACAAAAACTTTGCACTATTATACAATTTTGCAAACAGGTAATTTTTCTCCTTCACTGATGTGCGTTGATGAGGCTGAACTGATAGGCATCAGTACCCTGATGATCAGTGCTGATCTGTTGTCTGACAATTGCCGGTTATCAGCAGTACTTTCTGTAAGGAAAGTACAAAAAAAAAAAAATGGCAACTGTCCCAACGTATAACTAGCCTTAGCAGGAAGGGCAATGCACACCACAAGACAAACAAAAGATATCCCAGCAACACTTACCAGCCAGCTTGCGAAACAACCAAGTTGGCCTTGTCTAACAGTATGCATTAAAAACAGAGGGTTTTGTTTGCACACATTTGTAAATACATGCGTAAGCCACAGTCTCACATCAAGGGTCCTCTATAAACTGTGGACCTAACTAAAATTTCCAAAGCCTCCATAGTAGGCGCACATGTATAAATTTATAGGTTAAGGGCAGCTGTGCCTGGAAAAGCCCATCCCTCTTTAAAGGTACAGGGATGCACATGATGCGCAGCTATACCAAAAAGACAAAATATACCTTTAGAAATTGGTCACATCAAGGTCGACTTTGAAATCCTCGCACAATTTCAAAGTCAGGGAACATGTCGATTTCAGGTGCAATTTGCAAGACATCTGATACAGATGTCTATGCAAATCGCACAAAAATTAGTGCATGCACTACTTTAGAAATCGGTGCGGCTCTGACCAAGTCAAAACCGCACCGATATGACTGCTGTAATTGCGGATAATAGGGTGCGACTTGGCATGTGATTTGCAGGTTGCTTTTTGATGCAAATCGCATGCCAGGTCGCACCCAATGCGACCGGGGTCTTAAGGAGGGATGGGTTCCTCCAGGCACACTTGCCCTTATTCTATCCATTAATACATGATAGATGTGAGTAACTATTTTTGACATTTATTTCAAAAAGAATGTTTAAACTATATAGTTCATATAATTAACACACTTTATTGATGTTAGTGGCAATATAATATTAATTATGGGGGACTATGGATTTAACCTATGTATCCCCTTTAGCCTATGTGTCCACTAACAAGATATACAGTTAGGTCCATATATATTTGGACACAGGCACAATTTTAGTTTTTTTCAGGTATTTACCAAAACATATTCAAGCTATAGTTATATCATGGATATGGGCTGAAAGTGCACAATCTCAGGTTTAATTTGAGGGTATGTACATCCAAATTGGAGGAAGGGTTTAGGAATTACAGCTCTTAAGAGTAGCCATCCCCCTTTTTCAAGGGACCAAAAGTAACTGGAAAATTGAATATAATGATAAATAAAATGTTCATTTTTAATATTTTTTGAGAATGCTTTACTGGCAATGACTGCCTGAAGTCTGGAACCCATGGACAATACCAAATACTGGGTTTCCTCCTTTCTGATGCTTTGCCAGGCTCTATGTCAGCTGTCTTCTGTTGTTCTTTCTTTGTGGATCTTTCTGCCTTTAGTTATGCCTTCAGTAAGTGAAATGCATGCTCAATTGGGTTGAGATCAGGTGACTCGGCCATTCCAGAATATTCCACTTCTTTTCCTTCAAAAGCTCCTGGGTTGCTTTTGCAGTGTGTTTTGGATCATTGTCCATCTATTCTGTGAAGCACCGTCCAATCAACTTTGCTGCATTTGGTTGAATCTGGGCTGACAGTATATATCTAAACACTGCAGAATTCATCCAGCTGCTTCTGTCTTCTGTCACATCATCAATAAACACTAATGACCCAGTGCCACTGGAAGCCATGCATGCTCATGCCATCACACTGCCTCCACCACGTTTTACAGATGACGTTGTGTGCTTTGGATCATGAGCTGTTCCAAGCCTTCTCCGCACTTTTTTCTTCCCTTCATTCTGGTACAGATTCATCCATCCAAAGAATGCTTTTCCAGAACTAGTCTGGCTTTTTAAGATGTTTTTTGGCAAAGTCTAATCTGGCTTTTCTATTCTTCAGGCTTATGAATGGTTTGCACCTTGTGGTGAACCCTCTGTATTTGCTTTTGTGAAGTCTTCTCTTGATTGCAGACTTTGACAATGATACGCCCACCTCCTGGAGAGTGTCCTTCACTTGTCTGGATGTTGTGAATGGGTTTTTTTTCCACAGAGAGGATCCTACGATCATCCACCACTGTTGTCTTCCGTGGACGTCCATGCCTTTTTATGTTGCTGAGCTCACCAGTGCATTCTTCTTTCCTCAGAATGTGCCAAACTGTTGATTTGGCCACTTCTAATGTTTCTGCTATCTCTCTGATGGATTTGTTTTGTTTTTGAAGCCTTACAATGGCCTATTTCACTTGCATGGACAGCTCCTTTGAGCGCATGATGTAGGTTCACAGCAACAAATTCCAGATGCAAATACCACACTTAGAATCAGTTTTTGATTCAATTGTCCAATTACTTTTGGTCCCTTGAAAAGGGGGGGATGTCTACTCTTAAGAGCTGTAATTCCTAAACCCTTCCTCCAATTTGGATGAATATACTCTCAAATTAAACCTGATAGTGTGCACTTTCAGCCCATATCCATTATAGCACTAAAGCTTGAATATGTTTTGGCCAATATCTGAAAAAAACTAAAAGTGTGCCTGTGTCCAAATATATACGGACCTAACTATACCACCATGATCTTTATAACTTTCGGTCCCAACCAATATTGGATAAGGGGATATGCAGTTTTACAAACTCATATACATTTGATGCTTTGTTGTACTTTTAAGATATTATCATACACTGTATTACATCTATATATATTCTGTCATGACAGTGTTTGTGATGTGGCACCCATGGTTCTTGCACGTCAAAAACTGATGGCCTAATTTTTTGGGGGAGACTCACCTTCTAGAGATAGCGAAGCATCTTTTTGTGGCTATTTGTGTGTGTTTATGTATGTTATGTATCTTATATGGTTGGTTTACCATTAAATAATTATAAAGATATTTATTAATAAATGATCATTGAGAATAATTATTGTTATAGAGTGGTATCCTTTCCCTGAGGAAGAATCTATGCTAATGTATTTGAAATGCAATGGATCCCAGGCTGAATATATCAGCAGTCAAACCTGGAAATTGCAAGATGGAAATCAGCTTTGGGGGATACCACTGGATACATATTGCAATAACTACAATTTTGCGAAGAGAATGAGTTGTCTAAAATTGTTGTATTTTATATTGGCTAATATGCATTGTTTCCCCAATATGTGCTGATTTGCCTAACAAAAAAAATTTGTTCAAATAAAATGTTGATTTTTTTTAAACAATTGGTTTCTTTGTATATACTCCAAGGTTTCCTTAAAAATCCCATAAAATGTAAGGTGCAACTCTCTCTAATATAGGTCTTACTTTACATTATGACCACCTGATTCACCAAGACTGTGAGTGCCCAGCTAAATTTCACCAGCTTTGGGACAATTTATTTGAGTACTCCTGATCTTGCTCCATTTGACTTGGTTGTGAAACTCCCACCAAGCTGCTATTAGTTCATATACTCAAGTAGAGGCTTTTTATTTTCTTCTTACAATCTCACTTATGGTTCATGCACATGGATTATATTTGGCATTTTTTATGTCTAGAGTTAATCTCCCAACACTTTCCCTCGCTCAGGGAGCCAAACATGCTGCATACAGCCTGCTGTTCAAGTGAAACTGCTTTTGGGAATCTCACCCCCCCTGACGAAGCCACGTGACCCGGTGGCGCAACGCGTAGGGGAGGGGCTCTGACGTCACCACGCACTTGGGAATCAGATGGCAAGTATGGGAAGTGCGTTCAGCACATACAGAGGAAGCTACATTGTATATCTTAAGGCGTGATTTATTTTTAAATATTGTGAGTGCACAGTCAACTTGCTACAAATAAAAAGGTGTTTTAAGGATAAGGCACTATATTTCTCTTTTGTTTCATGTGTACCATATCTGGAGAAACAAGGAGAGATGGAGGAGTAAATCAGTAGTTCTAAGCCATCCAGAGGGAGAGATCCATGCATATCTATCCACATTAAAGGATCAGTATATTCATAGAATCCTGGTGGAGGGAGTATCATATTGATTTCTAATCCTTTTATCACAAAGAAGTTGAAACATCCTGCTATTATTGGGACACAAAGCCATTTTGCCTAATTGAAAGTTAGGCTTACAGGTGAAACTCGAAAAATTAGAATATCGTGCAAAAGTTCATTTATTTCAGTAATGCAACTTAAAAGGTGAAACTAATATACGAGATAGACTCATTACATGCAAAGCAAGATAGTTCAAGACGTGATTTGTCATAATTGTGATGATTATGGCTTACAGCTCATGAAAACCCCAAATCCACAATCTCAGAAAATTTGAATATTACATGCAATCAATAAAACAAGAACAATATCGGACCTCTGAAAAGTATAAGCATGCATATGTACTCAGTACTTGGTTTGGGCCCCTTTTGCAGCAATTACTGCCTCAATGCGACGTAGCATGGAAGCTATCAGCCTTGCTATTGTGATCTCCTGTTACCGATTCAGCTTGCTCCTGGACCTGTCTTCTCTGCCTAAATCCTGACCTGACCGTGGCTTGGCTAACGGATATTCTCACCCACTCTTCTGTGTATGACCCTGGCTATCCTATTGACTATGTCTGCTCTAATCTCCACCTGGCACTTGACCTTGGCTTTGAACCGACTATCCTGTGGTCCTCTGTTTCCCTGAAGGCTTGTATACTTCTCACGGGCCCCAACTGTCTGCAGACTCCATTCCAGTGCATCAGCTGTGCTCCTGGGTGTACCTCTAACAAGCACTCCTACAGGCGACCCGTGCTACTTTGGGCCCGACTCTCCTGCTGTCCCATATCCAGGGGAGTCTGGAACTTAGCAACAAGGGAAGCCCTCTCTCCATTGGCCTCTAACACCAGGTATGTGGTACTTCTCCTCTGCTATTTACTTTTAATGTATAAGGACTACATATCCCATGATACCTTTCAGCCTGAAAGCAGTGATTCTTGTACTGACTCCGCCTTCTGAATCAGGGAGTAACTGCAATTTGCAGTTTACTAAATAGGTGCAAAGTTAGATGCAATAATGTAAAATATGTTCATAATGGCAAAAATATGCATACATGGCAGAATAACGAAAGTTGCACAAACATGAACTCTTCACAGCAAT